CATTTGTTTTCAGATCAGATTATCCTTTTTATTTGATTACATAATAAAGAAAAATCGTTTAATTGCAAGTAAAATATATACATTTTTTTTTAATCACATCAAAACAATTAATTTCTCTTCTTCGTTTGATTACAGGATAAAAAAAAAAATCATTTGAATGCGGACTTTAGATAGTTAATTTGATTTCTCCATATTCTGCAGACTGAGAAATATGCATATATATCCCAAGCAGAGTGTGTATCTTATCAAGCTAGGTCGTGCTAACTTGGTCATAAAGGCGGTGCATGCAAACAGATTCATGACTCAATTTACTCGAGGGTCAAAGGTCATGCGAGGTTGATTCTAATGAACTCTTTCGAAAACGTCATTGTTGCTGTTGTTGATGTTATTGTTGATGTTGTTCTTGTGCAATTTTCATTATCATTAAGCAATTTTTCTCATTCTCATTATCTTTATGATGCTTCTTTTACTATCATTAAAATTATTGTTTTAATTCTTCCTATTATCATTATCATTTTTATTGATGATATCCTTATCACTATTTCCAATCGTATTACTGTTCGTGTTGTTACTGTAACTATCATCGTCTTTTATCATTATCATCAGTATTACACTTAATATGATTATCATCATTATTATAGTAAGAATAGTTATCATTATTGTCAATCCTATCATTGATATAATTATCATTATCACTATTATTACTAATATGAATGCTATTGCTATCAATGTCATTATCATTGTCATCATTATTGTTGTTGTTGCTGTGATTGTTTTTGTTATTGTTGTATTTCTTATTATTTTTATTTCATTATCATTATTACTATTATCATTATTATTATTATTATTGTCATTATTATTATTATTATTATTATTATTATTATCATTATTATCATCATCATTATTTTTGTCATTGTTAATATCATTATTATTATTGTTGTTATTCTTATTGTTATTATTATCGTTACTATCATTATCATTATATGATATTATCATAATTATATCTATTATAATCATTATCATTATAGTAGTTGTTATCATCCTTATCATTATTACTATTATCACTATTACTATTATTAATACTATTATAAATTGTTAACATTGTTATTATTACTATCGTTACTGTTAATGATACTGATAATAATGTTATTAGAATTGTTATTATTATTTCTATCATATCATTACCATTAATATTACTACCATTATCTTTATCATTATTATCATTATCATCATTATCATTGTTATTATTATTATTTTATTATCATTATCATTATGGTTATTTTTATTATCATTATCATTATTATCATTATTGTTATTATCATCATCATTACCATTAATATCATTTTATCATTATTGTTATTTTCATTATCATTATTATTATCATTTTATTACTTTCATTGTCATTATCATTATCATTCATATCATATGGTTATTATCTCTTTGTTATTACTATTTATTATCATTATTATTATCATTATCAAAATGATTATTATTATCATCATCATTATGATTATTGTTTTATCATTATTGACATCATTACTATTATCATTTCTCTTATAACTGTTATTATTATCATTACTATCATTATCATTATTATTATTATTATTATCAATTATTATTATTATTATTATATTATTGATTATTATTCATTATTATTATTATTATTGATTATTATTATTATTGTCTGTTTGTTTTGTTTATTACTTAGTTGTTGTTATGATTGGATATCTTTATCATTATTTTCATTTATTATTATTATTATCCTTATCAATATATATCACACTGATCATTAAGTATATCGATTATTGTCCATATTATTTTTTTCAAGTATATTCTTATCAACATTATCACAGCTATAGATATTTATCATCATTATCTCATGATTACTATCATCGTTATCATTATTATCATAATGATCATTATTATCTTTATTATCGTTACTGATATAATATTATGATTAACATTGCTATCTTAATCAGCAAATTATTATTATCATCATTTTGTTATCAATATCACTATTATCACTGTCATTATCATGGATATCATTATTATTGATAACATATTATCTTTATCATCACCATTACCTATCATTTTACCGTCATCACTGTCGCAACAGCATTATCAATATATGTCTTCACCATCACCATCATCACTATCATAATCATGATTATCACCTTCATCACTATCATAATCACCATTATTTACCTTCATCATCACCATCATCACTATCATAATCATCATCAAGGTCAGATTTTCCATCCATTCCTTTATACACCAAAAATGAATAAATATATAAAAATATAAGAAATAAAGAATAACAGAAAAACAGAAAAAATAGGAAAATAAAGACTATATAAAGAAAATCAGAAAAAGAAAAAAAGGAAAAAAACAAAGACAGAAAAAGGAATAAAAAGGAATTAAAAAAAGAAAGAAAAGAAAGAAAAAAAGTTTGGAAAATGCGCCATTCGAGAAAGCAAAATTCGCATGCTTCCCTCATGTA